TGAGTGCAGTACGGCACTGCACCCAACAAGGAGCGGGTTAATGAGATAATATCGGTTCTCATTTGCTAGTCCGTACGGTATCCTATGGGATGGTAAATTAGCTGACTGGGCGGTTTGCAAACTGCGGACTTGTGTAGCCCCTGTGCAAGCGCGAGCACCTTCCGGATTGATACGTATTAATGACACAAACAGGCCGGACTTTGTAATGGGGTTACGGTACATATCACAACCGTTTAGTGTGTTCGACCCTAGGTTGTACAAAATAATTACCCGTGACGGAATGGCTCATCGTAGATCACCGGCAGCTTTGACTAACTTTCTCACCACCCTCATCTCCCGCAAATACATCTTGCCAGAAATGGCCAACCTTTGGAAAACAAAAGAAGGTAAAGATTTCTTGAAAATGAGACCAAAGCAAACCAACTCGTCCATAGTGTAGCTAGAGACCAACGTTTTATGTTCGACACGAAAGCTGCTTCAGGCCAAGCAAACGAGGGCGACAATAATTGCAGTTATCGAAATGGCGGCAGGATGTTTACAATATTACAGGTCAGAGTGTTATTTTAAGTGGCACATTAGAGATGGTAAGATCCCAGGTGGTTCATTACACGAGGTCAGCACACTAAACCTCTACGTGCTACGTCAGTAGGAGTGCTTCGATGTTGGCGCTCTGCCCCAGAGCAGCCCGCCAACGCCCCTCAGACTGGCCCGGTTAAGACAGCCCGACACATACACACACACAACATCTACTCTCTGTCTACACAACCGTTGGCTTTGGCAATTTCTGACGCTTCAGTAGTAAGCCTTTGGATGAGGATCGTAAACCCTTCCTAAAGATTTCGACATTATGCGACGCGATTCCATGTCCCATGTCCTCCTATCTGTGTGGAGAGTTATTCAAATGCACCAGTGTCGAACAGACCGTTTGACCCTTCCGGTAAATCACCCTTGTTATTTCTTTTTGTTAGTATCTTACGGGTGGCTTCTGTCTAGCTGCGGGCTACCTCGCAGTCCACGCGAGACTGGTGGTAATCGCGTGACAACGATACGTCGGTAAGGTGTGCCGATGTACTGTTGATGCCATTTTTCCGCATGACACAGTGAACGATGAGCCGAGCTATACAGAAGCCTGTGATCGGTTGCAGCAGTCCGTCGCCGTCACCCATTACTCAGATTCCTGATTAGTGGGAGGAAATCTGTGAGTTCAAATTCCATATGGCCCGGTGATATATGGTGCTAAAGACTCCCAGAGGGACCGACTTTCCAGCGCTTTCCTGGGTGTGGTGACCGCTTTTACGCGACGAATCGCCCTAAAATAAACGTAATCGGAAGGTCACTCTAGTCAATATAGTTGTTGAAAAAACACAAATCTGACGGTGAGTGCGTTTGATAAACCTGCGAATGTGACCTGAGACAATTACTCGTGAAGAACTCCATCCATCAAACCCTCGATATTTGGTGTCAGATGAAAACATCACTCATTCTCAGCTCACAGACTGTTTAACGTTCGACTGGTGTGCCACCCCTGCTTTCTGCCAGTCTTGTCCACTAAGCCTCTCTCCTAATCACACACCACTTCAGACAGTCAATCTCGTTTCTCATCTGCGCAGTCGATGCAAAATTTACCATGACTGTCAGCAACATCTGGCAGTGTTGACTAAGGAAGCGGTGGTATCAGGTTGTCATCTGAAGACAGTTCTCGGACAAAGACTTCAAAGCGTAGCCCCAGTAGAGTTGAAACGAGGTGCATGAGATTGATGGATTCGCTGTAGTTTGTTACAAAAAATTATTGTTCTCCTGACGGCATTGCACAAGCGGAGTCTAATCTTCTTTTAGAATTCGTGCCTTCCCATAGTAATTCATGAATCTTCGAAGAACAATACCGCGGAACTTGAGCACCATGCAACGAAAGCGTTCAAACGCGAAAGAAGCTGTGTCCAAGTGTGCACTAGAAAAGGGTTATCCAGTAAGTGTGTGGGGTAGATCAGCACGTGATGGCGAGAAATTCGAAAAAAACGCCTAGTGCCATTCTGATTATCGACAATCCGTCATTTGCTCGTTGCAACCAAAAAATAGTCAGGGGGAGGCAAATAAGACATTGGTCTAAGTCAACCTCATATCCTGAGCACGCAATCGCCTGTCTGTAAGAGAAACACAAGAACTAGTTAGATACGCGCTACTAAATCAAAATGCGTCTGGAATCCCAACACTGATTCGAGAAAATGGACAAAAGCAAGAAACTGCCCAAGCCAAGTTAGTTCGGTCCATCGTTCCACTTCAGAGCATGAGGAAAGGAACCTCACAGTTTATTTTGTCAACTACAATCCGTGCACCAAACTGCGGTGGATCGGGTCGTCAGAACAACAATAAGAATAGTAGTAATAAGGATACCAATAATAAGTTGCAGTACCGTATATTACCGGATATAAGAACGTTCAGATAAAAAGAACAGTATAACATTGCAACGTCAAATTGGTCCGAAGTCCCTAGATTAGCCGACTGCGCAAAAAATCAGCAAAAAGAGAAATGAATTTGTTTCTTTACGAAGTTGACGTCATCACCACCTGCTCCGGCTTGTAATTATACTGGAATATGTAGTGTATTCCGACGTTGGCACATGAAATATTGTTCTTGTATCATGACTTTGCAGAAGTAAGAAGAGTCAATCCAACGTCGAAGTGCCGTGGGTTGTTGGGCATCTGCCGGAACAAGAAACAGGACGCTCGTTAGACGAAAGCCTCTATTGTTCGTGGTACCTGACCTGACCTGACCTGAGTTCGTTCAAGCGAAAGCTGCTCTACTACTGGACAGTTGCAGTGACTGTAATGTGTTATAATCGTCGTTAGTGTGGCGTACAGACGGCAGAACAAAGACTTTCACCGCATCGGACAGTGTATCGACCATATGTGTTGTCACATGAAACAGGCAAGACAGTTGACAATATAGGGTAAGGGGAGAGGGTGTGTCAGACACGTCGCCTAGCATAACCGGGAGCTGCACCCATATGGACCACAGAAGAGCAATGAGTGAGAGTGAAGTTCACGGTCAGGGGTGTGCAGGGAATTCCTGGGTGGATTTTGCATGTGAATTATTTTTCAAATTGCGTATAGTCTTTGTATAAGCCGATCCCCTAGAGAAAAGAAAAAAAATGTCCAAAAATCAGCGGCTAATATTCGGTAATATATAATAAATGAACAAGAAACAAAAGTGTCTGACGGAAGTCTTGAGTTAAAAATTGGGCAACGAATGTGAGAGAGCTATTGGCATCGATAAGGTGTCCGGGTCATTGATGGATTCGGATCCGAGATCGTCGTCTGGGAATACAACAAGAAGTACGAACAGGAAATCGGAATGCGTAGTTGGTGAAGTAGGTGTCGCTATTCTGTGCATTCTTATCAATCAAAAACATGCAACCTCGATAGATAAACAAAAGCAGTATCAGAAGCCATGAGCACATCTCCAAGTGGCTACGCAACCGGATGAGATTTGTTACGACAGAATAGGGTGAACCGGGGAGCCGACCTGCCCAGGTATTCAAAAGACATTTGCTGACCATCGAGTCAATCCTAATGAGCAATCAGCCGCCCCCAGTGGCCATCTGTATCAATTGCGAACGCATTTCGTTGCGCATTCAAGAACAGTTGACTATAGCAGCGCAGGTGCTTGGTCATTTACGATCTTAGTCGATATTATTTTATTTTACCATTGCTACATGTCTGGGATTGATAAGAAGGCACGAAATAGGGACGCTACCCCACAAATTACATTTTCGCACATTTTTGCTGGGAATTATGAAGAGAATTTCTTGTCCCAAACGAGAACTACCCCGACCCACGCTTGTGGCATTGTCTTGCTCTTTTAGCATATAACTGTTTGACCATCACGGAGCGTCACCTAACTGAACGCAGTACAATTAAATATGGCAAATCAAGGTAGCTGAGCGAAGCACATGACAGCGTTGCCGATCCGTAGCACTAAGGAACACAAGCCTGCCATGTAATCTGAGGGCACGGGTTCGAGTTTGCATAGGGGACTGGGCGACTCTTGCAGTATTCTCAGCCGACGTGCGACCGGTGGTGGTTGCGCGGCAGCGAAGTGTCGGTACTACCTACCGGCGTACTGCTGATGCCTCTACATGACAGTGTTAGCGAGACGATTCGAGTACAAAAGAAGGTTTGGTGTCAAGCACTGTATCGCTGTCCCGGATTGTCCAGCAGAGGTGAGAACCTGTGCGCGATGGTCAAAGATGGTCAGCAGATAAGTCTCTTATACGTACAAAAAACACGACGCACCGCAACGTTATAAACACCTCCCTTAACTGATATGCTCGTATCTCATTGTCCACATAAACAGCTGACGCTCTGAAACGACATACGATCCTTAGTAATGCGAGACGCGACTCGTTCGCTGATATGACCGTCAGACTGCAGTTACCCACTTAAGTAAACTGATCAACGAGATGGAGCAGTTGATCGGTGATAGTGAGTACTGAGGGTGAATTGACCGTCTTGAAACGGTAGTTTGCACATCGAAAATGCAAGCACATGAACCCCAGCAGAGCATTTGGGTCCGTTCGACAATCAACCATCAAACAGAACTTAGGTCCGGGGAGAAATGGAAGGACACAGAGGATTCATTGATGATCCGTTCGATTGGTACTGATGTACCCAAACTGCAGTGGCGAACGCAGGGACAGGTTTCTGGAGACAGTTACAAGGCCAAGGGAATCGTTGTATGGAGATGTTAGGATAGACAAACATTACCATAAGTGTGATCAAAAGAAGCAGAGACTACCTTACGGTGAAAAAAGACCATCATGATAAGCCATTTGTAATTGTGATGACGCCGAAGCACTTGCCAAAGATATGGACATTTTATGCTGACAGTAGGCGGAAGCCAGCTCTCAATTACACACGGCTCTTAATGGTGGAATATGCAGCAATGTGCCGATTGCAGACAGGATTCAACCCGTCACCGAGATGGAAGGAAGAAATCTAGATAAACATCAGGCAAATCATTGAATTTGTACACCGTTACGAATACATTCAATCAATTGAAGCTAGTGGAAACAAAGGGTAGGGCGAGGGAATTTAGGGGACTAGCGGATGAAAACGGAGAGATCGGCAAAAATATGCACGACGCTAACCAAGCGACGAAGTATACATGTATATGAATATATGCATATGAAAAATGTGCGCCAGACTGTATACGCACTTTACTATCACATCTGGGAATGGGGAGAAATTGAAGAGTGGGCGATAATCAGATAAGGAGGCAAAGGTGAAGTGTGCGCAACTGGGTCGAAAGATAGTGAGCCGAGAGCAGAACGATTTCGAAGGACACAGGAAAGAAAATAAAGAAAGAGGCGAGGCAAGTATGATAATAATAATAATGTTAAGGTTGCCCTTCGTCTGGATCGAATCTGGAGTGGTTGCTCCGGCCCACCAAGCTGAGGCACAGACAAGGAAACTGATTAAAAGTGAGAAAAATGATGGAGGGAAGAAGGAGGAACCAAGATTGTCCCAATGTGTGCTGCTAATGTACAATATTGACATAAACAGGTCAGCTGTTCTACTCTATGATACACTGTCGCTGGTCACAAGGTAAGACGAATGGGGAGAATGAAATTGTGATCAAAAGGTTCTCAGGGGTTGATGGCCTAGACAATATTCCGTGAAGTAAAACATCTGAATCAGTAATACAAAGGAAAGAAGGGCTAAAAACAATCAAGAAAAACGTTGCTACTGAACTGGAGACTGATCCCAGCGGAAGCATAATGCTGAAAATTGAAATGAGATGGAAGAGGGGGAAGCAGCTATCGAGAGTGGGTAGGAGAAAGCGAGTTAGGATCAAATGCTGACATGGAAGAACGGTGGTGGTGATGGTTGTGGTCTTGTCTTGTGCGGCAGGCTGTGGGTGACTACCGTAAGAAGAGATGAAATGAACTGTAGTTACGGGCAACAGAGGAGAGAAAATAGAAAAGGAAGGCAATATCTTGAAACAAGAGTTTAAGCATGAATAATCTGTGGATTATCACAGACTGTTAAATGTTCCGATTCTGTTGGAGTCGAGTGCGTAAAGAGAAGAGCGAAGGGAACAGACTTGTTTGAAGTAAAAGCCAGTGCTACAGGAGCACCGCTTAATAGCAAATGCCTGTGACCTCGGAGAACGATGCGTTGGTGGGCATGCTTGAAAGCTTCTCCTGTGACAGAAAAGAGAGATTACACAGATGCTCAGCAAGTGACCGGCACTACGGAATCTGTGGAAGTTCGCACGCAAAATGCGATGTCACAGGAGGTACATTGGGAAGGAAGCGCTGTGCTACGTCTGGCGACGAAACGATGTCGCCGCTGTCGCGTCGTTAACTGGGAAGTGATATCGAGTAGACAAGGAGAGCGCAGACAGAAGAGAATGGTAAGAACACTTAGGCAATATACGGGATGGTATAGAAGAAGAGAATATGCCTTGGAGGTCGCTGTTCCGTTGGGGTAGGAAGTATCCGACGGAGTCAAGGAGAGCAATGACACCTGTTGCTGAGCTGGTAGTGTAACTGTCAATGGGATAGCTGAACCGGTGTAAGAAAGATGACGACATCGCACGGATAAAGAGGGACAATGGACTTGAAACCCTGAACCCGTAGCGCCAGATCGCTGATCCGGGCCAACAGCGGATGACAACGACACCGTATGCTCCACATCCGATAACGAGTAGCAACAATCGGGTTGACAATAGTCCTCCTTTTGGTACACGTCCCGATACTGCGAACTGTGGTGATAGTGGCTTTCTGACAAGGATAAACAAAAGAAGATTGTTAGGAAGCCAGCGTAATGAGAGATTAGCACATATTTGGTAGACAAATAACCGAAAATGCAGTTGAACCAAAGTGTGTAACGAAGGGTATTACCAAAATAGTGCTAGTCTCAACGTAAAGTCAGTGGGTTAGAAGTTAGGAAAGCCATGAAGAAACTCTGTGTTACCGTTGAGATGCGGCCATAACGAATGGTTTTCGCGTCGCATTCGAACTTCGCTGCTGATGCGGCAAAACGCAACAGCCAACACAACTATCAACATTCTCATAACGGCACGAACATCAACAACCAATCACAGCAGGGAATGCGGAGTAGATGGAATGCGAGTGACAGTTTGGCTGGTTCTCTGTAGCTAATCGGCCGGTTAATCAAGATGGTGATTAGGTATCAAGCGTTACAGAAGGCATCAAAACAACCACAGATGGCGATGAGCCAAATGAGGAGGGTTGGGATGGGCTTGATTTATCACAAATGGCGAGTGAGGATTAAGAGTAGCGTTCCACCAATCGGTCAGGCGAAAATGCAAATATCGGAAGAAAATAAAACAGATTCCCGTATCTAAACACATAACACCTTGTATGCTGCTATAAAAGAGAGCGTTGTGTTGGTCGTTGGAATTGCCACCCATGGTACAGTTCAATTTTCGTGTATAACAGATAAAAAAGGTTAACATGTGGGAGCAAGATAGCGCTTATTTTCACTACATGTAAATGGTAAGAAGGAAGATTCTGACGGGTGAACGACTGCCACGATTGTGAGACGTTTGTGCGTATAGGTGCATGAAACTTAAAAAGTTTATATGTTGCGTTCCGATAGCCCACATTTGGAAATTACGGTCGGATACAGAAGGTATGCTTGGTAGACGAAATGCGAGAAATCGTCCATTGAAACAAAAATATGGAGATCTCGGCAATAAGAGAAAAATTTAGTGTAACGAAATTGGTGACTACGCCTTAAAGGCCAGTTAGTTTTGTTTAAATACCAGAGACAACGTAAAACATGTCCTTATTGGACTTTCAGCTAAAAGACTGGTGGAACATCACCCAGATGAACGTCATTTGCGTGTTGACGTAGCGATGTATGCGTAAGTGAACTGGACGCGTATTGAATGCTTCACGCACGCCATGTTAGTAAAAGAAACAGACTACCTATCTTTTACACGACCCTACTGCATGGTTGCGAAACTCGACGCATCACGTCATCAGACGTAAAGAGGAGAGTTGCGTTGGAAAGTCGATGCCTGCAAGTATCACACTTTGGGTATCGATATACCCTTACCCATGAATTCTGGCAGTGTACCAACACAGCCGAAAGAAACAATTGTCATACCGCGACACAAATCAGGCTCCCTGTTCGAAACAAAGAATTATCGCCCAATAAATCATACATCTATCTCATCCAAATTGATGGAGCGACATATAAAAACTGCGACGGTCGACTTCCTACTGTGTAGTAAGTTAATCGATGACTCAGCATGATGTTCTGAATGCTCGTTGGTGCATAACGTGCGAACTTGAAGTATTACATTATCTAACTGCCTCACAGGATAACGGCAATTCTGCAATCGTTAGTTATCTCGAGATGCAGAAAGTTTTCGATCGAGTACCACATGGAAAACTAATATTGATGTCGTATGCAATCAGAGAACCCCTGCTTTCGTGGTTCAAATCGTATTTTATGAACCGAACGCAAGTGGTACAGATTCGGAAACACAAATCTGAACCAATAGCAGTCACAAGTAGTGTAGTACAAGGTGGTGTCCATGGCCCTATACAGTTTTTGATGTATGTTAACGATATATCTGACGCGGTGAAATTCTGAACACCATACGTGTTTGCCGACGACATCGAAAGTATCTACACTTTTCACCCTGCTACCATAAACGAAACTACCACTATGATTCAGTTCGACCACCACGCGCTCGGAACCTGGTGCTCAAAGTGTGGAATGTTATTTACGACAGACAGATGTCACGCCGTCTTACAAATGCGATAAAACACATAGCAGTTTAACCAGTTGTGACAAGCAAATTAATATATTAAGTGAGATGGTTCCAGTTTCCAAATCAGATAGTCGTTCACATGCCCAGAAAAGCACTAGACTGCAGTTTCAGCCGCTTGGGCATCGTCAGTAGTGCGCATCCATCGGATCCATCAGGATTCGAACCCATGACCACCAGCGGCTTGAACCACCAGTCAGCAGCTTATGCCACTGGGCCACGGCGGACAGCTCCGGACCGTCATGATTTACAAGCTAACTGCGATATAGCGCGTCTTATCCTCCACTGCCATACAAGTTATGAACGTTGCAGAGGACAGGGTTGGCCCGTAAACATACGACGTCCACTAACAGCAGCTGCTGACTGGCAGTTCAAGCCACTGGTGGTCATGGGTTCGAATCCTGATAGATCCGATGGATGCGCACTAGTGACGATGCCCAACCGGCTGCGAAGTACCTAACTTAATTACATCAAAATCTCCTACTCATGAGTATGTCAAATTAATATATGCCCTACTTTTCGTGACCTGAGAATGAGATACGCATGTTCACTCAACTTCTCTGAACAAGTAGCCTACGTCACTGCAAAGACCAGAAAAAAGTATTGGAATGTTATTTAGAACTTTCAAAGCAAAAGAATCCATACTCTGCGCTCATTCATCACTTTAACGTCCTCTTTTGGAATACTGCTCGATGGTATAAGTTAGCGCAAACAAACGAGCTCGCATTGTACTTGAAAATGTACAACGAACATTCACACATTCACACTTATTAGGAATTTCAACGAAATTACAATATTCCGAGTGATGTGAGAAACGCAAGCTTGATCTCATCTATGGTGAGGCGAATGAAGCACAGTCTAATCATATGCTATATAACATTCTGCACAAGTAAATGCATGTTTACAAGCTTGACATGACAAGCATACAACACACGAAATAAGGAACATTCGGTAGTGGAATGCAAGTCGAAGACCACCAGATCTGCTAACTTCTTCCTTAACAGATATGTACGGATCTGGAACAAATTGCCAACCGATCTCCGTGCTAGCAAGTCAGAGAAAAAACTTCAAAAATGACCAGCAAATATTTGACTGTGCAAAACGTGATCCACCTATTGGGATGTCACAATAACAAATAGCCAAGCATACGAACAACGTCCATGATTCATATGATCCAGAAACTAGTATACAACACAGAGTAAATATTGCAATGGTAAGGCCACTATGCTCACCGTCTTCATCTTGTTTCTTCTTCCTACTTGGTTATGCCAACGATTAAGTTATTACAAACAAGTGTGTTATGAAGGAAGAAATCAATCAAACACACCTCCACATTCTCCGTCCTCATTGTAAATATTCCTACCACTTTTATAAATAAATAAATAAATAAATTTGTATATTTACCGACGGACGGTACACGGCCCCATATATTTAATATAGATGCAATTCTTGCTCTAGTTTCATGTGAGTTCCACTAGCGGAATTGGATACTAACAAACAGCCATGAACAAAACAGCTATCAAAATGTGCAAAAAAGAAATGGACACCTACTTTATACATTTCCGTATTATTATTTTCAAGAGACCTATCAAATCAGACATAGGCATCCTATGCAACATCGGGTAACACTTTGAAATAACAGGCAAGTTTGATACTCTATGAAAATTGAAAATCCGTTTCATTACTGCTGTAGATTTTTCGATCATCCGTGGTCGTTGAATTAGAAAATGCTTTATTTACCTAAACATGCCGTCACAGGCGTATCGCGCCTAAAAAATATACAATTTATTTAGTTGTAAGTAGTACGGGGATTTATTGGGTTTCGTGAAAAGTCATCACAGTTAGACAGCCAGCACATGTCCTATTGTGACTCGTCAGTAACGTGCACTCGCCAAATCCTGCCGGATTCGAGCCCAAGATCTTATAATTGCCAGCCAGCGACTTATGCCAATGAACCATGGGCGACAGCAGCGGACCGCAATCTAGCGCGGCTCAGCCTCTATTGTCATGCATGTTATGTACGTACGGAGGACAGGGCTGGCCCCCAGAGCAACGATTTCCATTGCAAGCCGCCACCAATCGACGTGGCACGTAAGCTGATAAGGCGACTACTGATTATTTGTAGGTAGTAGGGGGACTGACATCAGGCGGGAACATCAGGTGAACAATGATAACGTTTGTCATCAAGTTACTGGCACACAGGAGGAACAAATGAATTGCACAGCTCAGTTGCTTTATAAGCACTAGGTTCCGATAGCTGTACCATGTGTTACGAATTCCAATACACTGACTTCAGTGACGTGTGCTGTTTTCGCGACCAGAGTCTGAATGGAGGGAAAAGATGGGAAGAGAGCCAGTGGCTCGGCCAATAGGTTTCGACAGTCACCTCCCGGCTGCAGGGTAGGGATCCGAAAGGATAGAACACGGTAGGTTGAAAATACTTGTTGACATAGCCAAATGACGACTTCGGTCGCATTTGAGCAGTGAGTTTCCTGGTCCCTACCACTACGATCGCACGCCCAATATATCATTCATCATCATTATACACGTCAGTTAGAGGTGGGGAACACCTCAGCTACTGTGCCGCAATACATAAAGGAGAAGGAAAATAAATACACGCCCAATATACAATAAAGCACAATGTTATTGGTTTAGTTTTGCCTCTTTTTTCGGATATGTAAACCCAGGTGTGTCAAGCAGCCAGTTAATGTGTGTTGATGATGAGGAAAGCGAGATCCACTAGCATCATCAATGCCCGACGCATGGAAGCTACGAAATGAGGTCCCTTAAGGTCAATGCTGTTAAGTTCAAAGCGCGTTATGAGGAAAACACTGATGAATTCGGTCAGCAAGACAAATGGTACCAGCAGTGCAGTCCTGTCAATAGACATTCTACGCCAGAAAAATCTAATACGCTTTGCATTTGAACATCATCCGGTGGCTGAGTGGTCTGCACGCTTGGCTTGTAATCATAAGG